GGGGGGGGGGGGGGGGGGGGGGGGGGGGGGCTTGCTTGGCGAGGGGGGAAGGGAGGAGGGAGGAAGGGGAGTTTAGCGGAGTCCCATCCTCTCCGCTGAACGAGGTGATGAATTAGAGCCCTCCCCGGGCGGCGCGAGCTGCCTTGCTCTGCCCGCCCTGCCCACCCTGCCCGCGCTGCTGCCTGCCCTGTCCTGCTGCCTGCCCTGTCCTGCTGCCTGCCCTATCCGCCCTGCTGCCTGCCGTATGTCCTGCCCTGTCCTGCTGCCTGCCCTGTCCCTGCTGCCTGCCGTGTGTCCTGTCCTGTCCTGTCCTGCTGCCTGCCCTATCCGCCCTGCTGCCGGCCTCTGCCCGGGAGCGGGCGCTGCCCTCCCTGCCCTCCCTGCTGCCCTCACTGCTGCCTGGGCACAGCCCTTTACCTCTCTGCCTGCCTGCGAGAGACGGCTGTCTGCCTTAAAGGAGCATGGAAGAGCACCTTCTTTTTCTTCCCTTTCATTCTAGTTTTTCCACCTTCCTCAGCGGTGTCCCGTGCACCGACAGTGCTACTTCGCCTGGGAAGTCAGCGGGCGCCCGCCAGTCAGGCACGGAGGATCGCGGAGCCCAGATGGGTGACGGCTACGGGAGCCAGGCTCCAGGATGGAAGGGTTGCTTCTCCCTCGCTAGCAGGAACCTGTAGCTGGACAGCCCCTCGGAGTGGAGCTGGAAAGCTCACCACTGTCGGGTGCTGTGGCTTATCCTGCCAACTGTCATACAAATGGAAAGGTGTCACCGACCTGTTTCTCCTTCTACTTTACAAAGAATTCTATGGATGTTTTTCATATGCTTTTCCATCCCCTAAACAGTATCATTACTAGCCTGACATTGGAGTAGGGTGAAGGGGAGGATACCAGCAGCACAGAGCAGCCTTACCAGATGCCCAAACTCAATAGCAAACCTCAGATTTATCTCTTTCCAAAGCCAAAGCAAGAAGCATGCCAGTAAGCTGTGCGGAGAGGGAAATGAGAAAGAAAAGGAAGACTTCAGTTGTCCTGTCAAATCCTTGTTTCTCTCAGAGAACATAGGGGTAACCATTATCTGTGATCTGAGGCTTCAGCATCAAGCTGTGAAATACTGTTTTAAGTTGGAGGTCTGAGTTTGGAACACTAATAAAAGGGGAGCAGGGAAAGAATGGGGAAGGTAATGAGTACTCTGAAAGAGCTGTACCAGAGCCCTCCCCCATAGCCATTTCTGCTACAAACACCTGGAAGATGGACACCTCCATATGCTTCCAGCACCATCACTCTGCTAGACAAGCAGAATGCTCATGTCACAGCTTTGAACAGAAGTGTGCAGCCTGCAAGGAATCATACTGTCATCCTGCCCCTCCAGACAGCTTCTGTGTTGCAGTGCAGGCTAAAGCTGCCTAGGGACTCCTTGTTTCAAAAGGATAACAAAAAATTCCAGCTGACTTTTCCCTTGCAACTCTTTCCTTCCTATCTCTCCCATTTTCACTTCTCCATAAGTCTGGGGTTAGAACCACACCTAATAAACAATCCAGAGAGAAATGAGAGAGAGAGAGAAGGAGATTGCTAGATAGATATTGCTCTCTTTGCATAGAGCAAACTTGCCATAGACTGTGTGGAGCATACTGCTGATCATTGCAATAACTTGCTGTTTAGACCCAGTACGGTTACTCTTATCTTAGATATGAAATTGCCAGGTTAATATGGAGCAGAAAAAGCAAAGTCTGCCAGGCTTCAGTAGGTCGTGTTCCTAGAGAAGACATAATTTCTTCAGGAAGGAGCAATTCAACTCCATGTGTAACTTGATTCAGTTTACCCAAGTTCTGATCACTGCCTTCATATTAAAGTGACAAGGAAGTAGTCCTAGGAGAATAATTATTCCTTCAGCTGGTAAAATAGAAGAACGTCCTCCCAGTCTTTCTCATCCAGATCCTTATACCTTGTCTAGAGGAACATTGTGGAGGAGCTCCTGGCTTCACTGGAATCACAAGCATGGCTCCTCTTTACTTCATCCCATTGAAACGTCTTCATCCTGTGAAATCAGCAGGGTCTCCTATAAATGTCTGATGTGTGTGGCATCTATTTGAATTGTTAGGCAGGCTCTCAAGGCAAAATTCTTAAGGATGGATGAATCTGTTTACTGAAGGTTCAGACTGATCCAAGGTCTCATTGGCTTAACTGAGGGCTTCTTTCTTTGCCCTTCAGCTGACCTCCTTAGCCAGAGGCCACTGGCACAAACTTTCTAGTTACAACAGAACTGAGATTTCCTTCAAAAATGCTGCTTGGATTGCTCCTTCTCTCCATTGCCATTCCAGAAGAAAGAAGGAGTATACAGGAGTCTGGATTAAGTATTCTTATTATTAAAGAAAAAATAAGCAAACTCCAAAGTATTCCACCTGTGAACATGTAATACTTTTTCAAAGGGAATAAAATGATAAAATGCATATAAAAATCTAACATTTAAGATTTTTGGATACAGTCATCTGACTTCCATCTGATTCTGTAATATTGGTGCAGCAGCTTAAGTGGAATATTGTTTTTTTTACAGTGAATAAGTGAATTTTAATTTCAACCATTTGGATGATGTTTGCAATTTGAACAATAAGGTCCTCATCAAAGAAGTACCAGCTAGTGAGGTTTTAAAGAATCACAAGTTCCGGGCTTAGTAATGGACTTTGAAAAAGACCAATTAGACTTCAGAATATAATTGGACTGCTTTTCAAGCTTGGAAATACATTCTAACCTTTAGATATCTTCCCTGTTTCTGCAAAGATAGCGTCCTGGCTTGCAGAACTGAAAGGGTCACAAGCAGAAAATCCAAAGACAATGGCAAGTGATTAATAACTGCTACAGGTTCCAATGGAAGATGGGCATATGGTTTAATTGCTTGAGGCACTAGAAGAAAATACAATGCTGTAATGATAAATATCAAATGATTGTGCTAAACTTCCTGCACAATGCAGCTAACCTGTCTAAACATGGACAGTTATTTATGAAATAGTAAATAGAACTGAATCCTGTGGAATCCTATTCATAGAGGCCACGTATCTTATTTTGGAAATAAACTGCTTGGAACAACAAAGCAAAGCAAAGCAAAGAAGGCAAAGCTGGGCCAGAGAACAAGGAAATCTATTTAAATGCGAAGGAGTGAAGGAATAAGAAGAGAAAGTCTAATTAATCAGTGTTTGGCAATAGAAAGAATATTTCAGTAAGATTATTTACATGAGTGATATGATGAAGTGTCCAGCCTGTAAACTGTACAGTACATATGTAGCGCATGTGCAGCTCCGCTATCTTATCTATATGCAACTTGAAGTACTATTGAATTCAGCTGGAGTTGCATATGCACTACAATGACAGATTATGGCCTCCACAGCTTTTCTATATTTGTACTATACAGTGTGTGGGCCAGATGCCTCATATCACTCATGTAAATAATCTTATTGAAATGTTCTTCATATTGCCAACCATTAACTCATCAGACCTTCTCTTCTTATCCCTTCCCCTCTTCACATTTTAAATAGATTTCTTTTGTTTCAAGAAAATCTTCATGTTTGAACAGAGTATTTTTATGGTTGGTATAAATACTACAAACAGAGTCCCTTGTCACATTTTATTTCCATTTCTTCAAGGTCAGAATATGACTGTATGTACCATTCCTATTTCTAAATATAAAAATATCTCTGTGAGACTTTTATTTTTATTACACTGATTTCTGCTTACTTACAGTCAAAGGCATATGACAAAGTGGTGTTTCTCTGTATCCCATATGGAAAAATACAGGAATACTCTAGCCACTTCAAGAGAAGTGCCTTGTATTCATGGTGCTCTTAACTATTTCTCCTGACACTATATCATGAGCATTCACACCACGCTGGAGTGAGATATGATGTTCAGCATCAAAGAAGACTAAGAGGTAATGTACAAACAGCTGTGTCTGGACCACTCAGTGCTTCTGTGATATAAACATGAGCAAGCCTATGGGCTTCATGAGACTCACTGCAAGTGACACTCAGTGTGCACACATACACTCAGGATTTTACCAAAAAATGCTTGAGATTAGGTAAAACAGAAATTATAATCTACATGAACAAAAATTACAGCCAAGTTTATCTACAGGATTTTCTCATTAAAATTAAATTAAATCTTTTCAATTTAAGGAGGGGAAATCATGAATACAATAAGTAAGAAGTCTTTCTAACTTCCATTGCATAGGGAGCTTCTTTTCTAACATAATACCTAACATAGATTTTTATTTGTATTCCACTTTTATTTCATCCATTAGATCTAGAAAACTTTCTACAGTGGCAACACAGAAAATAGAAGAGTTTTAGAAATAGCTATAAGAAGTAGAGAAAAAGAATTTCAAGTAAGAAAGGAGTCTGTACTAAATCTGTATATTGTCCAGAAAATACCACAATTTGGGTGAGTTTCCTGAAGACATAATTAGACTTCAAAAATAGCATAGGACTAAGTGAATTGCTTAATTAAAATCCAATTATTAGAATATTTCATGATGACCACTCTAGGGATTATTAACTGACAGCAACACTTGTTGGAATAATATAACTTGATAACAAAAGTTTTATTAAAACTTATGTGTCTGGGAGTATAGGTTTTAATTGCAAAATAACACAATGTATATCATGTCAGCTGGGAAGGCTTTGTACAAGAAAGCTAAAATATGAGAGTTAAATTGTCTTGAAGAATAAACTGATGTAAGAGAGAGTCTGAAAAGCCAGTTTTTTCTTTCAGTGTGAGGGCGAGGAAGAGAGCAGGGAAGTCTCTGAAGGCTTCTTGGGCTGCCTGCTGAGCTGAAGGAAGGAGGGATGCTTGCAGCTCAGGGTACAGCCAAAGCAGCTGCCCTTGGCTCCTGGGAGCTGTTTGCTTTTCAAGGCTTGAGTCAGAGAGCTGCATAAACCTTGAGCATTC